TGTAATTTCAAAACTACGGTATATAATTGATAAAATAGCTATCATTTGTATAAAAAAATAGGAATCATAATAATTAGACACCATTTTTGTGATTTAAGATTTGCAATTAAATAAAGGTTTAAAATAAATGTTGATTTTAAATCAAATGAAACAAAACATTTAGGAAAACATAACATTTATTGAGGTTTGGATCGAAGAAATTCCACAAATAATATACAATTTACAAAATTAACAAAAATATAAATCAAACACTAATATCATATGAAATGATAACATAATTAATAACATCAACCGAAGAATTTCCATGAAGATGTTTTCTCACAAAAAATATACATATTATTGGCTCTAACCATCAGCTCGTTCATTACCACTTTCCACCGCCACCACCATATCCCTGTTTGCCACCATAATCAGCATGGTTAATATCCATACTGGTCTTCTCGCCGCCGTGAGAGTCTTGGCCATTGTATACGGCATAGGCTGAGTCCTGATTGCCAACTCCCGGCTCATTGGACCTGATCTTAGCGCTGAATCCATTCTTGCCGTCGGCCCAGTAGTCGACGACTCGCATACGGCCGTCAATATCCTGGAGTCCGTACGAGCCCTGAACACTGTGCGGACCGCCCTTTTCGCTGCGGTAGTTTTGGCCGCCCTTCGGGTCCTTAATCTCGTAGGTGAACATATAGTTACCATGGTCGTCCTGTTGCCGCTTCGACGTCGAGTATCCGCCCCCACCCCCGTGCGAGTACGTGCACAGACATAGGCCGCACAATACGGTCACAAACAATACTAATCGAGTGATTAAACTTTCACAAAACATATTTGCAAATATATATATAACACACGACTTGTTATCCGTTGACAAAAAACTTTTAAATATTTCTGTTTTGAGACAACTCTCGCCTCTTATATAGTTTACAAAAACAGATAACTGTTTGAATAAATTAAGTTTCAAATAAACCAAATCGCAGTGCCTTTTGGTGATAATTTGCAAACGATTTCTACAGTAATATATGTATTGTTTTATATTCTTTGTTAATTTTGTAAATTGTATATTATTTGTGGAATTTCTTCGATCCAAACCTCAATAAATGTTATGTTTTCCTAAATGTTTTGTTTCATTT